TAAAGGTCCAAAAACATTGCAGGGAAATGTGCATTTTATGTATTACCAAACTTGCCTTTATAATAGAATGAAAGAAAACTGGAATCCTGTCTAGTATTTGCTGCACCCGATGGATATCTTTTGAGCTTTCTTACTCCTTTTGCCCTTGAAATCTAAAAGGTGTTTTATATGATGCTCCTGCAGTGTTGTAAATGGACATACAAGTCTATTCTTAAACATGGTAGAGCATTGAATTTGCCGATTTTAGAAATTACATTCCTGTGGTGTTCTTTTGTGCAAATTTACAGAGAACTCTATTATAAAGCGATTGTCAGATTTCTATGTTTCTTTAGTCCTTCCTAGCATTTTCATATTTTTTATGGAGATCCCCTTATACATTACATGTACTGTACATGTATTATCTGACTCCGCTGCTGCACCTGAAGATAATGTTACTTTATTTATAGAGATATTAACTTCGCAATCTGTGCCCTCAAGTTCTTTTTATATTGGATCAGTGGAAGAAGGAGAAGCCAGGCTCTCATGCAATCTTGGGTTCCTCCACTTCAATTATTCTCTGACTTCCGCTCTATTCTCGATACACTAGAGATCCTTTTATCTTTCCTGGTACTGCACGAGGCTTGTTTATATATCTTGAAGATGATTGAGTGAGCCTGGTAATGTATACATTACATGTTCATTGTACATGGTACATGTATGTGCAGCAGCTGAATGGGCAATTGTATTGGTTTAAAGAATTATAATTTGTGGTATAAATGTATTTTCTAGATATCTCTCAACGTGTGTTTGCAAACATGTATTTCTCCTCAGTGCAAACGGTACATTTAAAGTCTTGTTCGTCTTTATTTGATTGAAATATATTAGGGATTTTCCTTCTTTCGTTATTTTACTCTTTTCTTTTGGGTTTATTTGAGATTCACGACCTACTGTACATGTAGACATTAAAATGTAATCCCCTGAGAAAATGTTACAGGTGACATCATTGTAGAGCGGAACTAATTTATAAACGTTTAATTGGTACATCATTAGAATATAATATGTGGTACATCCATTTCAGAACTTTGTTTTTGTATGAATAATATTTTGTCAGCAATCTGAATTCTGAAGTAGATTTGTAGCTAAAGCTTTGACATTTTAAGGGATCTAGTGTTTTACTGACGAGGAAGGCAGTCTGAATGATCTAGCAGATCTACTCAGGAAAAGAAACCTGCAGAAAACCTATTTGTTCTTCTGTAATGTCTGTGGTAGATCACCTTTGATATTTTGTCATATTGATGTGAACAATGAAATATTCAGCATCTCTGAGGTACACGTCTAGATGTACACATCATAAATGCAATATGAGGAAATTTAAGAGGTTAAGAGAAATATAGAAAGAGGGGAATAGAACGATGAATAAAAGAAGAGAAAGAGGAAGAGGGAGAGGGGGAGATCAGAGACTAGAGATACATGTACAATTTGTACCTCAAAACATGTACCGATACAATGTATGTGACTTTCTTGAGAATATCTACAAGTACAGGTTGTAAACTGGGGGGGGGGGGGGAGACTTGACTAGAAATTGTGCTTGAATTGGAAAATAGCTTTTAATCTGCTCTGACAGTCAATCATGAGCTGAATTCTGAATTGATTTCAGAAGACTGAGTTTTAGAATGAGCACATATCACAATGCCTATTTATATTTATCAAAAGGACTGTGCATATTACCAAAGCTGTATGACCATTTTACTCAAGAATAGGAATATTGATGCACATAGAGAAGGGCATGTCACTCTTCCCAAATTCCCAGTTGTCTACAATTTGGCCCAAATTCACAAAGGAGGTTTAGCGCAAAATAAGCATACCTTGCCTTGCGCACATCTAATATTTGACCTCTTGACTGTGTTGCGCTTATTTTGCACTAATTTTAAACCATGGGTTATGTAAATGAATGTTTAAACCATGGAATAAATTTAAACCTCCTTTGTGAATTCGGGCACCTACAGTATGTTTACATGCTGTACTCTTCTTCAAAGTGTACAATTTTCAGGACATATTTTAAGGAAGGTTTTTTGTTTTTCATCTTATTGTGAGAGTGTTACACTTGAAATTATTGGCTTTTTTTAAAGTGGTAAAATAAATTGTAAAAAGAATTTTATTTATATCAATATGAAACCCTTCACTTCATCAACATACATGCTACTTAAAATGGTTTTGTTAAATTTCTTTATTTGCAAATAAAGCCTGAATGCCTGACACACCTATGGTATTCCTCTCTGCATCTACATGTACATGTGTACACTGATCATATAGTATGTACTTCAGATATTTCTACATTTCTTCATTCACATACAGGGAAAAAATTATTTAAAACATTTTGGGGGCTACTTTTCAAGCTTGCTTGCATGAAAATGACACTCTTTAATTTGTTTTGCATTGAACTCTATGCAGGTTTTTTCGGCTCTTTTATGACTTTTGGGGGCTTTTTTGGCATTTCGGGGGGCTAATTCGCCCCGAGCCCCCGTGTATTTGTTCCCCTGTTGACATAAAGTCTACCTCTGTTGGATACATTTCATCGCATGCCAGTCAGTCACACAAGTTGACACAGACCAATTGTGTCTTTCTTTCCAAATTTAATGTTCTAATGAAATTTCACTTTTAGCAAAGCCATCTTAGTTAACATTTGATGTTCCAAACTACCACATGTACATCTACTTAAGATGTTAACATAGCCTTCCTGATACATTTATTTTTGTTTCAATAGAAACTCATCCTATTCAGAGTAATAATTATTATCAGTCAGGAAAAATGAGCTAGAAATAACAAAGTTCTGTTTGTTTAAAGGAGTGTTTGCATAATTTCCGTAATTCCTTAATTTTATTAAACAAAATCGTTTTCACTGGCTGTCTGCTGTAGCAACAAATAGAATTAACAAAAGACTTAACTCCGTTTTGTTGACAATCAGCCGTAGACGAAAGACTTCATACATGGCTGATTGTCAACAAAACGGAGTTAAGTCTTTTGTCAATTCTGCTTGTTGCTACGGCAGGAAGCAAGTGAAAACGAATTTGTTTGATGAAATTATAGAAATGCAAGCACTACTTTAAAACAAACAGAACTTTGTCATTACTTGCTTATTTTTCATGATTGAGGTGTCATATGAAAGGGCAGAAACTCAACTTTTTAGAAATGTGATTTTCTCTTTAAAATTCAGATACCGTCCGCCAAATGACTTTTTGGTTTCCTCTCTTCATATTCATTTTAATCACTCATGCATGAAATATGGATTATACGAGTTGCATCAAATGAAAGAGGAGGGTCTAAGCTTTCCAAATTTGTGTTGTGTCATTTATTAATTATAAATGTGACTAAGTTAATAAAAGATTGATAGTTCTCGGTTTTGTTTTTTCTGAGACACACTGTATATTCCTGCATATTATTTCATTTCAGTGTAGATTGATCTATGACATTAAAGAAGAAAATGGTTGACTTCAATCTGCAAAAAGGTCAACTATCTTTTTAGAATTTGCCAAGACAAGTTGCAGGAAAGGCTTGTTCAATTGCCCTGTTTACATCTACATGTACTTCAGATGTCGACAAAGCTTTCCTGATACATTTGTTTCTTCATTAATAATTCATAGAAACCCACCCTATTCAAACAAAATAATGGACTTTCCGTAACTGTTCCGTTTCAATATAGATTTCTCTATGAAATTGAAATTAAAAACAAAATTGAATTAGGTGACTTCATTCTAGAAAAAAGAGGTCAATCACCACTTGGTATTGGCCCAGTTACTCGCTAGAAAATAACATGTGAAACTGGACATGACTTGCATATGAAAAGATGTTTTGAATTACATGTACACTTTTCTGGTGACTGAACAAAATTGTTTTTGTCAGACACAAACCAGCAGCAGTAAATCAAGAATAAACAAATCAGAAACACTTTATAAAAGCTTTTTAAAGATGAACTTGTCAGTTGTAATTTTGTTCCAGTAGACTAATAGTACATTTGATTTTTTCATTTGTTTAAAATGTGCATGTACAAGGTTTCTGTACAAATTTTATGTGCTCAAGTATCAAAAAATATTTTTCTTGCCAGTTTTTGTTTTCTCTTCTTGCTCTCTTTTTGTCAAGCATTGCTTTATAGAGATATGGAAAGATGTACATGTAGAAAGGAGTAAAAATGGTTGGAGCACAAAGCTTTCTAGAACATTAGGCATGCAGACTTAATCCCGATAGAGATTGGAGATAGATAATGGAAGTTTGTTGCATCGAATCAAGAAAAAATTCCCACACATTACATTAAAGATACTTTTTAAATTTACATTTTGAGAGATCGCCTTAGGGCCAAAAAATGTAGGGATAACTTCTGGAGAGCATTATCCTTCCCAGGTTCCTGTCATCCATTACCTGTAATCCTTTATTCCTTTTCTGCTTCTTACATCAGTCAAAAATAGCAAAAATCAGTTGTCTTCCCAAGCTCAACCCATACTCTTACTGATTCAAAATCTTGTGTCGTTGCATTCATGAATACTTTTTTTTACCATGATCAAGATGATTTAAAAGTGCTCAAACTCTGATTGTCTGTCACACACATTATAACAAAGGGAAATGTTGTTGTCTTGATTTGTAAATGTGAAATTTTAAAAGATTAAAAAGTCTTTAACAATGTTTTTAAAAGTTGAAGAATTAGAGAAGAACTGTTATCTCTTAATACCAGTGGAGCAATTTTTAGTATTGGAGAGGGGGATTAGACCTGTTGTTGTATTTGTATTTCTTTATGTTTACAAGACATTAAGAAATGGGAGTCTTGACAGTTATTTATTTAAATAAAGAGCAATATATCTACATTTTAGTGCCAGAAGGATTTCAGGTCTCATTGGAAAGTGATGTGATTGATACCTTCTTGCTCGAAGAAAAAGGTTAAATGTCTTCCATTATGTTCTGTGTCCAATATTTATCTCTTCTTCATTTCAAGATTAAGTGAATTTTTTTCTATCCGTTTCTGTCTTTTTCAGTACCAAGATTCTGTATGCAGTCAGCTCTTTGAGTTTTACCGATCAGGACACCTGGAACTCAAACGGTTCTGCATCCAGTTTGTCCCTCTTCTGGTATGGCAGTATCTCCGTTCCATAGCTATGCAAGAGGTAGGTGTTAGTTGAATTAAACATTAATTCATGTTTTTTGTTTTTTGTAATATTTAATCAACTATCAAAGGAAAACTAAAAATCCCTAGAGCAACACAAACTAATACCACACAAGTGATGTCTTTTTTTTATTTCTTGGTTTGGTAGCAGTTGTAGGACTGCCTGAATTGAAAATCGTTTCATTGACAACAAATGACGGTAGGATGCGACCGTCATTGTTGGTCAAACAGCTTGTGAGCGTCAAGTAACGCCCGGCTGGAATGCTCCCCAGGGAGTGGAGATTGTGCACACAGTGTGTGCGGGCAAGCACTGAATCCAATGACCGAGGTAATAGTATATTTGTAAAGCGCTTAGAGACATTTGTATTAAGCGCTATATAAAAATTAAATATTATTATTATTAAAGTAGAAATAGGAAAGCGGAGTGACCAGTGGCAAGTTCTAACTAATTAAATTCAGCATTGCTCATGAAAGGATTGGGTTAATAATGAACAGAGACGACGAGGTCGTGATCGGGTATGGTGTTGGTTCGGAAATTCAAGGCGGGAGGCTTTTCATGCAGTAGTAATAATTGTGATTGATAATCTGGAATACATTTCCATGAATTCTTTGCTAGTCTGTATCGTCTTGCACTTTATAGGTGATGCTGGCTAAACCTGGCTATTATTGATAACAGTCTCCCTCAATCTCTCTTTCTCTCTCTCTCTCTTTCTCTCTCTCTCTCTCTCTCTCTCTCTCTCTCTCTCTATTTCACTCTCTCCCTCCCTCCATCCCTCTGTCCCTCCCTCCATCCCTCTCTCCCTCCATCCCTCTCTCCCTCCCTCCCTCTCTCTCCCTCCCTCCCTCCCACCTCTCCCTCCCACCTTCTCTCCCTCCTTCCCTCCCTCTCCCTCTCTCTTTCCCTCTCTCTCCCTCTCCCTTTCCCTCTCTCTCCCTCTCCCTTTCCCTCTCTCTCCCTCTCTCTTTCCTCTCTCTCCCTCTCTCTCTTTTCTCCCCATCCTATCTTTTCATCATCCTCCATTCTCCCTTTTCTGTGTCTCTGTCAGCCTCTCTCTTTCTCTCTCTCTCTCTCTCTCTCTCTCTCACTCACTCACTCACACTTTTTCAAACTCTGATTTTCCCTGTCTCTTTTTCTTGTTCATAAGTGCTCTTGTTCTCCCTTTAGTGCATATAATATTGTTTAAGCTTGAATACTCTTTAATACCATTAGGAGTATCCACTTCAAGCTGAGTATTAAACTACATGTACAATTACTTTGTAAAGTATCCTCGACGAGAAGCAAAATGATATTTTTAAAAAATTGCATTTTAAATCTTGTTCTGACTGATTCAATTCTTAGAATGTAACAGAGTAAATATGATTACTTCAAACAAAATAGAATGTAACCTTATTATAGCTGTCTAGGGAATAAATTATTCACTCAATTTGATAAAAGTGTGATACTGTCTTCTTACCACAATACCATGAATTTCAAATGAATCACATGTACATGTATACTGTACATGCAAATATGTATCTGCTTATGAAAAGAACAATGTTGTGAACATCAATCCTGGGGCAATCATTTTTTGAAGAAAACAAAATTGTGTAATCAAGTCAACATCTACAGTACATGTAGGAAAGAGGAAATATCAAATCAAAAACATATCTTCGCCAGAATAACAACTTGACTTCATCTTCTCTTTGAATTTTTGTAAGGGAGATAAATGTAGAAATTACTTGTGGACTCCAATAATAATGACTATTCTGCGATGTGCCTTTGAAGAAGTTCAAGATGTTCTGGGTGCTGCAGGCTGTAGGAAGATTGATTGGGCAGTATATATTTCCATAGTAGCTGTTCGTAAACATCGTCTTTCTTCCGAGTCCAAACAGTCTTACATGTAGATGTTATTATAAAAAGGATATTCTGTTTCAATTTGACGAGATTGAGTAATGTATTCCTACTTGAACTTTTCAAAAGACCCATCTTGTCACGAGTTCATGGAGGCTTTTGGACTTGCTTTGAAAGCCCTGCGGTTATTTCTACATTGCCGAAAGAGGTGTTGAAGTTAAACAAGATGATGCATTACTGGCCTACTTTGTCACCAGATGTGGTTGCCTCTTATACCCCCTTCAGACTTGAGGAAACTCATACAAAACTTGTTAAAAAAAACCGTATACACCTGTATATAGAAAATTAGAAATCGTTGTATAGCAAATTGGGCGTTCTGACAAGATAAAATCGTTTAAAGAAAAAAAGATCAGTTGACATGACAGCTGGCCAACCGTCAGTGCACACTCATGATAAAGCCCAACCCAGCTATACGTTATTTGTTCGATATAACATTCAGGTGAGAATGGGACCATGATTCTTCATCAAGTTTTTGGTCGAAACGATGCTCAAATGTGCATTTTGCTGTGTAAAGTTTCATACAACATTCAGACTAGAAAAATAATAATTATTCATTGTATTCAGGCCTGATAAAACCCGATTTAAATCGGTTTCCGGATTTTTTTGATTTTTCCGGATTTTTTTTTCCGATTTTTTCTTCCCGATTTAAAAAAAAAAAAAAAAAAAAATCCAGATTTTTCTTTTTTTTTTTTTTTTTTTTTTACCAATTTTTTTTTTCTTCCCTATTTTATCCTGATTTTCCAGATTTCCCTCTTATTTTCTCTATTCTTCCCTATTTTGCCCTATTTTTCCCCCAATTTTCTTATTCGAAAGGGGGGAAATGTTGTTAGATGCCATTTTTTCCCCGCGAATCCTCTTTTTTTTTTTTTTACTCAAGGGGGGGGGGGGGTGGGGGGGGGGGGGGGGGGGGGGCGTGGTTGAGGGGAAAACAAAAAACCTATTTTTTTTTTAGTGCTCACTATCACCCCTGTGTATTGCTTTTATGTACATGTACCGGTATGTGATTCTCACAGTGAAGTCTAGTAGTCTAAATGGGTCTACATTGTATAAGGATTGTTGTTTGAACAAACCCCCTTGGGTTACATGTACAAGTATATATGTTACATGGTGTGCATTATTCATGGATTCCATGAAATCTTTCCCTCACATCCATTGCTGATGTATCCGGCTACATTTCTTTTTTATGCCTCCCCACCGAAGGTGGTGCCGGAGGCATCATGTTTTCGGGTTGTCCGTCCGTACATCCGTACGTCCGTCCCGTTTGACCGTTATCACAATATCTCAAGAACCATTTACATGTAAGATTTTAACTTAAGACTCGGGAATAGTATTTATCACCATAGGAAGACGATCTGATTCTGATTAGATTTTGGAGTACGTAGGTCAAAGGTCACAGGTCACAGAGGTCAACTTATGAAATTCCTTGTATTGAGTTTGTTAGCGCGATATCTCAAGAACCATTTGAGATTTAAACTTCAAACTTAAAGATAGTATGTATCACCATACGAAGACGATCTGATTAGATTTTGGAGCATGTATGTCAAAGGTCAAGGGTCACAGAGGTCAACTTATGAAATTCCATACATTGAGATTGTTATCATGATATCTCAAGAACCATTGGAGATTTAAACTTCAAACTTAGTGATAGTGTGTATCACTATAGGAAAACAATCTGATTACATTTTGGAGCACGTAGGTCAAAGGTCAAGGGTCATAGAGGTCAACTTATGAAATTCCATACATTGAGATTGTTATCATAATATCTCAAGAACCACTGGAGATTTAAACTTCAACTTATGATAGTGTGTATCACCATAGGAAGACAATCTGATTAGATTTTGGAGCACGTAGGTCAAAGGTCAAGGGTCACAGAGGTCAACTATGAAATTCCATACTTGAGATCGTTTATCGCGATATCTCAAGAACCACTGGAGAATTTTCACTTCAAACTTAATGACAGTATGTACATCACCATATCATAATATCTCAAGAACCACTGGAGATTTAAACTTCAAACTTAATGATAGTGTGTATCACCATAGGAAGACAATTTGATTAGATTTTGGAGCACGTAGGTCAAAGTTCAAGGGTGATTTAAAACTCCAAACTTGTTTAAATTGCTCTATGGCGGAGGCATCAATTTTCGACTGCGCGCAGTCAAAATTCCATCTAGTTTCACTTGCATCATTTATTCATTTGCTTGTTTGTCAATGATTTAAGGTTAATAATAGATAAGCGTCTACCGTATTTATATTATGATCTAACACAATGGAATTCTTAATTACTGATTATTTTGTTTTTATTATCATTCCGTTATGGTAATTGCATTAATATACAAAGGATATAAATAATGTCAACATAAAAAAACACTGTATCACAAGTCTGTGTGATATGAACGTGAAACAGTCACCAACATATTCACTGCACACTGTTAAATCCATTTATCTACATTTGACCTTCAGCCTTTTCACACACAACTAAAATTCTATAAACATGATTAGTATCAGCGTGTTTAAACTAATCACCTGAACATACGACATCATTCACACACAGAAATTTTTGGTGCGATCGTTTTGTGATTAACTACTGCTCGTAAAATGCGCGGTAGTGCCATTGCGCATTGAAGGTCATGTCATATCAATCAAAGCGCACGCTCCATCCAGTTTAAACACTAGATACGAACTTCGTATCTGCAGCCTGCTTTTAGGGGCGTATGAATCGCGACTTCGTATCTATCCCAACATCTTATAAACAATGTTCACACAGGGAAAATTTTCTATAAACATGTTTAAAAACTGTTGAGTTAAACATGTTTAAACTTTATACTAATCATCTCTAGATACGATGCATTTTAGCTGTGTGTGAAAAGGCTGCTTATTCGGCTCGTGGTTGGTTCAGGACGGTTGATTTTGTCTGACTGATAATCTTGTAAAATGTAAAGTTAACTGGGTCGGGACGTTATTGTGTTTTCAACCCTGTAACGACATAAACACATGAACATGTACAGTATGTAGAAACTAGAAAGTCTCCTTCTGAGGCTTTTGTTACAGTATGTCACATTGTGGAGAGAAAAAAATGAGAGAAACATACAGTTTGCACAACCACAAACATGTGGTATGTATTAGCATGAACCTATTAGGTTCATGGTATTAGGCAGTGTGGAGTGGTTGTCATACATTTTACCACAAATTGGAAATTAGTTTTAACTTCTCACTTTTGGGTTATGAAAAAATGAATGAAATATAGCCCCAGACACCATCATTCATTTGATGCTAAAAAAGATGTAGGAAAGCAAAGATGCATTTGACAAGAGAGAGAGAAGGGAGAGAGAGAGAGGGAACAGTTCTATATTTGTATCACCAACATTTTGCTTTTTTATATGACAATGTACAGTATTGCTCATATGCATAAAATCAATGCTTTCATACAGTTGTATTTTAGATACTGTACAGTTGTAAATTATAGACCTCTGACTAACAATTTGTTTGTATACACTGCTAAATCTAAACTAGTGTGATACAAAATAGAAATTTACTTCGTTATTACTACCCCTCATCCAGTGAACACTGGATAATGAATTTGACCTCTATTTCTTGTTCCTTTTTTACTTTCCCTCTACAGACAATTGGAAGGATAGAGAGCTTGCTTCTGGGCATATACAACCTGGTAAGAATAAATTGTATAATCATACAGCTAAAAGCATGTAACCACAATAAATGTGTCACTGAAGCTGATTATATTTATGCATGTACACATGCTTTAGAATAATTTGTTTTTCTTGTTGTTGTTGTTTTTTGTTTGTTTTTTACTACTTTTCATGTCATGATATTATGCTTTGATTCTCCTTGTTTCCTTTTCCCCTCATTTCCTTTTCTCCCCCACTTCTTTTTCCTTCTTCTAGTGTCCTATTTAAAAAAAAAATGTTTTGTCCTCCTTCTCCTTGTCAAGTTTTTCATCCTATTTAATTCCCTTCTTCCTCATTCTGTTGAGAGATCAGACACAAAATCGCATGAGTAGACTTCAACAATATATGGTACTCTCCTTTAAAACACAAATTACTTAGTACATGATATATGTCCATTACAGCTGTTAATGTATATTTCCATTAGTGTATGCATGAGGGCAGTTTGTCAAGTACATGTAATGTGCGTAGGTGTATCAGACCGAATATGTTGTAGGCTCGGTGCCTAAACCATGTTGTGCCATATTTACGTACCGTACAGTTTAATCTTAATTTCACAGTTGGATGATTTCTCAAAGAGACCTTTAAAGGGATTGGGTATCTTTGCCTCTGATTCTAAACAAAATACTGGATTTAACTCGTGCTGCAATCATAATTATAAACTTTTAGGTCAGTTAAGACGGAAACCCATGACTTTACAAGCCGATCGCCTGTCTGATTATCAATATATTTATGATTGTAAATTGAAATTTCAAAAAACGTTTTCCTAACAAGTTTTATTACACTACAATCTATTGGGGAAAATGAGTACCGGTATGGTAAAACCGGTCACTCAAAGATTTTTACTTTTTTGAGGCACTTCATGATCATTTTGAAGCACAGTTTTTAGGGCTTCAATATTACACCATATCACAGACACTAATAACACATAGAGCCATGCATCTCAGATTTAACATTGTTTAAACGATGCCTTTAAAGCTAATATTCAATTTATTTTTCTGGGTTATGGATGAGGAGATTGCAAACTATTTACATGAAGGGCATCAAACTCAGCCAATATTAAATGCAAACACAGCTGCATGAATTGTGCATCAAAAGTTAATTTGTTCGTAATTGAAGATTTTTTTCATCCGTATGAAATTCATTGAATGCTTGACAAGTCATAGGGCATACAAGATGAAAAACTGAAATACTTTAAATTTCATTTTATAGAAAGTTTAGAAAATCATGAATCATGCACAACGTATAACTGGAGAAAAACATAACACACAATTTCCAAATAACTGAATTTGTAATGCTTAATTAGCAAAGTTCATAAAAACAAATACCCGGTATATTTCATGTAATACATCTGCATGTGTCATTCATCCTTTTTCCAATAGTACTCAAATATTTTGCAACTTTGCAACTTTGCAGGGGAAATTACTTCCTCTGTGAAGAATACCCTGGTAATTTGTTGCTACCTACCCCCCCCCCCCCCCCATCACTTTTCTTTATATTTTCCTTCTGTTCAATTTAGTATCAGCGACTTTGTGGATTTCTTCTTCTTTCTCCTTCTTTTTGTCTTTTCACACTTTTCTTTGTGTTCTTCTATTTTTTGTCTGTGCTAATTCTTGTCTTGCTTTTTGAACTGCAATTTTGTATGTAGGTTGTGCTTTGATTTGCATTTCATGCAAGTGGCTTTCCTGAAGCACTGAAGTACATGTAATAACTTTAAAAATCAAGTCCGTTGCTGCAGACTAGCCTTTCATTTCTCCCTTTATATTTTCCAAGTGTAAAGAAAGATCTCGTCCCCCTGGAGGATGCAATGTTTGCCAGGCTGCTTCAGAATTCATTTAGATCTCAAGTGCTTTACTGCTTCTCCACCATTACTCTAACTACATGTATGGTCTCAACGTACCGCTGAAGCCTGAAGATTAAAGAGAACATTATCTTTCTCCTATACTTTGCCACTATCCTCTATCAGCCCTTCTACTGTTCAATCTTTGCAGTGACTCATATGTCACCTTATCCTGAGTTTATTATTAAACTACCCTCTCTATCTTTTCTATTTTCCTAATATCTTCTCTTAGTACTCTATCCATTTTTGTTGTCTTAGCAGTGGGTCTAAGGTTCCCAGTCTCCCCCCCCCCCCTCCTCACCGCCCTCTCCCTCTCTCTTTCTCTCTCTCTCTCATCCTCTCTATCTCTCTCTCTTTCTCTCTCTCTCTTTCTCTCATCCTCTCTCTTTCTCTCATCCTCTCTATCTCTCTCATCCTCTCTCTCTCTCTCTCTCTTTCTTTCTCTCATCCTCTCTATCTCTCTCATCCTCTCTCTCTCTCTCTTTCTCTCTCTCTCTCTCTTCCTCTCATCCTCTCATCCTCTCTATCTCTCTCATCCCTCTCTCTCTCTCTCTCTCTTTCTTTCTCTCATCCTCTCGTTCTCCCCCCCCCCCTCTCTCTCTATCTCTCTCTCTCTTTCTCTCATCCTCTATCTCTCTCATCCTCTCTCTCTCTTTCTCTTGTCCTTTCTCTCTTTCTCTCTTTCTCTCATCCTCTCGTTCTATCCCCCTCTCTCTCTCCCTCTCTCTCTCTCTTCCCCTACCCTTTTACCTATTACATGTATGCATCATTTATTTCATTCTATGCATACATCTTGGCAGTGGGTAGGAGGTTTCCACCGTGAGTCTCTCCTGAGCTCACGAGACCAGCTAATCTCCAGACACCCCTAAAATAGATGCCTGGTTCACGGTTTGATCAATACTGATTAATGCCCTTCAACAGCTAATAAAAACCTACACTCATCACCAAACCACAGAGGCCATCTATAAATTGCATTGCAAATCATTCACATTTTAAATGAGCCTACAGTAACTTACATGTACTTCTATTGGACAAGCAGTATTTGAGAGAGATGTGTAGAAGGGGTTGCCCCTTCATTTACTTTTTGACCGTTATGTATGATTCAATAATATTTCATCTTTAATTTAATCTTCTTCATCTTTAGTTTAATCTTCTTCTTCTTCTTCTTCTTCTTCTCAATTTCTTCTTCTTCTCTCAATTTTCTTCTTCTTCTTCTTCTTCTTCTTCTTCTTCTTTTTCTTCTTCTTCTTCTTCTTTTTCTTCTTCTTCTTCTTCTTCTTCTTCTTCTTCTTCTTCTTCTTCTTCTTCTTCTTCTTCTTCTTCTTCTTCTTCTTTTTCTTCTTCTTCTTCTTCTTCTTCTTCTTTCTTCTTCTTCTTCTTCTCAATTTCTTTTCTTTCTTTTCTTTTCATTTTTTCTTCTTTATTTATATTTGTCATTCTCACCTTCAAGTCTTTGGTCTATTTTCAAACCATGTATAAACCACACTGTGATTAGGTGATTTGGCATTGAACCAAATGTCAGTGAGCTGCCTCAAGTACAGATGTACTAGGTTATTCAATTTTATACTAGAACTAAATGTACATAGATATTTCTACAAAGTATAAACTGCCTACAGTAATGTCCACAATCAGTGATTAGCAATAGTGTCAATAATCACACAACATATGTTGCAGTATAATAGTCTAGACTGCAGAGTGACACTCTGCATTTGGTCTGCAGTCAGGCGATTGACACAGTTCCATAAAGCATTGAGCCAACCCTAATGTTGCCAGTCTCTGGCTGTGCCAGGAGCAGCTGCCATACAAGGCATGTGGTGCGCTGTAGACCTGGGGGTGTTCACAAAGATCCTAAGTCCAACTTATCTCTAAGTTGGAATTATGAAAAGCCGTTAGCATCTTTGATAATATTTTGTAAAAGTTATTTTAAAGGTACTATGTCCCTTTTGCAGCCAACCTTAAATTCTGTAGAACTTTGCAGGAATTACGAATATGTCGTATATGTCCTATCTGTGAAATTTAAACGTTAGCAGTGTCCTCATATTCAAATTATGCAAGGAAACCTGTTTACTTGCTAGACTTCACTGTCAGACACTATTGAGTGACTGACTGGCCTTTTTTCTTCTTTGGTAATAACATACATGAACAGAGTTGTAAAGGGTACATGAGCATTTGTTTACATCAATAACCCACTTTTTGTGATGGCCAAGATAAAACTGATTGAATCTTCGCGCAGCATAAAACGTATGATCATTTGGTACAATCATCTGAAAATCAAGACTATTACTTTTGGGCTCTATAGCCCTAAAGTCGATTTGACAACTAATAGTCATTATTTTCCCACTTGAAGACATTTTTCAAGCCCTACCTTTTTTTAGGGAAGTTCTAAATTAGTATTATCTTTCAAATGCAGTTGGAATTTAACTTTCTCATTTTTTTGGCCTGCAAATGGAACATAGTACCTTTAAATGGCATAAGATGGTGATTCAAAACATTCATATTTCTTTTATCATATGAGATTTCATGTTCTTGATGTGGAATTTATGAAAAGTCTAAAATACTTGAATTTCTGCTTTTGAATATATTTCATTTTAAGCCTACAAATGGCTCTCCATATTATTGAGTCCAACTTAGAGTTAAGTTCAACTTAGGATCTTTGTGAACCCCCCCCCCCCCCCCCCCCCAAGCATCTACATTAGTCAGACCCTCTATTTACTGGCACGACTTACAACAGTTTGTGCCTGCAAACTATTTATTTATTTAATCTGATATTTACATGTATACAGGGTGGCACATACATGTTGATGTTATCAGAGTGGTAAATTGATGGCCCTTTCTCCCCTTATATTTCCCAATTTGCAGGAGGTTGTAGAAGCAGATGGAACCCCAGAGCAGAGACTTTTACCATTCCAACATTGGCAAGGCCATCAATATTCCATGAGGTAACCAGAGGACACATATGTTGATCAAACAGTGCCAAACAGTGGAGGAGGGTGGGGGGGGGGGCGCATGTCTTTCGATTGCAGTAAAGTAAGCATCTATGTATTAAAGACTTCAGACTTGAGAAATACTGTACCAAACCTGTTTTAAAGAAATGTATTGAGAATTATTGTGTAGCGAAATGGGCATACACACTGGATAAAAACATTGTATAAAAAAAACTACTTTTGAAGCGATCAGTTGATAGGTTAGCTGGCCAACAATGAGTGCATGCTGACAATAAGCCCCACCCAGTTATACGGTTTCTGTACGGTATGATGTTCTGATGGGAATGGGATCCTGATTCTTTACTACTTTTGAAGTGATCAGTTGATAGGTTAGCTGGCCAACAATGAGTGCATGCTGACGATAAGCCCCACCCAGTCATACGGTTTCTGTACGGTATGATGTTCTGATGGGAATGGGATCCTGATTCTTTATTGAGTTTTCGTTTCGAAACTGAACTCAAACATGCGTTTCGTTATGCAGTGTTTCATGACACAATGTTTAGACTAGAATAATTAGTACTTATCGACACAGCTATAGTTCTATCCGTTATTTTTAATAGCTGTATAATGTATTTGGGTGGTCTGAACAGAGGGAGGGGGGGGGGGTGTAAATGGAAGTGATTTTAGAGAGGTAGGATGTTTATAACATTTCCTCTTTGGCATACTGTGTTATGATAACAATCTATTGCATTATTTCCTCTCCCAGTCACTCGATCTGTAAAAATTCACATTGAGAAAGCATGGATTACATAAACATAATTTTCTTGAGATTTGTGTGATGAAGGGTGTCCACTTTTTTGTCTAGCCTGCGTAGCAAAAAAGCGAGACATAGGCGCCGCTTTTCCGGTGACGGCGGCGACGGCGACGGCGACGGCGGCGTCAACATCAAAAACTTAACCTAAGGTTAAGTTTTTGAATTTTTGATATAATTTTGAAAGTATAAGTTCTTAGTCAATGAAACTTTGACTATAGGGTAATCAAGTATCCCCAATCATGTGAGTAGAATTTCAGATCACAAAGTCAAGGTCAAAGGTCATTTCAGGTCAACAGACTTGGACTATGTTGTAGCATCATCATTGAAAACTTAACCTAAGGTTAAGTTTTTGAATTTTTGATATAATTTTGAAAGTATAAATTCTTAGTCAATGAAACTTGGACTATAGGGTTATCAAGTCTCCCCAATTATGTAAGTAGAATTTCAGGTCACTAAGTTAAGGTCAAAGGTCATTTAAGGTCAACAAACTTAGACTTTGTTGTGGCATCAACATCAAGATTTTCAAAATGCTTCTTCTTCGTTATTTTTCAACCGATTTTGATTCTGATTGTTTCATATGATAGGGCTAGGAGGGGGATTTAAAATTTCTACACAGAATCGTGAAATTCATTATCTATGCTAATATATGCAAATTTATTCGAAATCACAAAAAAGGCTTCTTCTCCTTCATTTCTAGACCGATTTTGATTTGGTTTGCTTTATATCGTAGAGCTAACTTTGGTACACTAAACATATACACAGAATTTTGAAATTGTTCTCCATTAATTAATTATGGTAATTTATGCAAAATTTATTCCAAAAATAACAAAAATTGCTTCTTTTCCCTCATTTCTTGACCGATTTTGATTTGATTATGCAAATGAAATGAAATTATGTACCTTCCAGGGCATCAAATTTTTATTTTTTGACCAGTTCAAAAGTGTACCTCATAAAATTTAGGATATTTGTTGTTGCGAGATGCGGATGAGCGCTACGTCATAGACGTTCTGGTTTATCATATTGAATTGCGTTATGCAGGCGAGACCGCCGAGAGCGTTTCCCTTGTTTAGATGAATGCATCTTCTGTTTGTAGCCAGAAAGGCATTTAACTCATATGCTTCAACACAGAGTTAAGCCCTTCTGGTTTTGGACAGACAACATGCAAGTGCTTCATGTTTAGTCTACAACCTATTGGTTACTGTATATTACAAGCAGTCCTAGATTTACATTTTTAAAAGGCCATGACATTTGAAACTGAAAAAGTGTCCCAACAAACAGATGTTATTTCATACAATCAGAAGTACCCATCTATTTTTTTTTTCCTTCTCCGATTCTCTGTGCAGCCGATGAGCCCTCTGTCGCTGTCTGACAACCTTCTACTCAGTCATCAGAATGATCACACTGTGCTCACTAGGGGGCCTCTTCCACAGATCAGTACTGTTAATGGTCAGAACAGGTGCGAACAAAAACATTTTAAAACCTTTTCTTTTCCATTATGAGAAAATATGATTGTGATTATTGTCCTATTAAAATTTGGGGTTTTAAATATTGTTTATGTTTAAATTTGGACTTTAACCATCTTTTTGGGAATAAGTCAGCAAAACTTAAAGGAGACTGTTACTCTGTTGGAGGGGAGATTTGCCAACTGTAGCATAGAGGTTGTTAATCTTTTGCTTTCTACTATTTACATCATCTTTTTTTCCGTTGATTTTGTAGTATATCTCTTTCCTTTCTTTTTTTCTTTTTTCACTTATTCTGTTTCTTTTTTTTTCTCTCAGTTTCCTCCTAGTCTTTTTTTTTTCTTTTAGTCACAGACAAGGAAATTAGTTTTAATATTGATGGGCTCCGAAATCACCAACATCTTTTCCAAGGATAAGATTACAATCTGAAAACTTCCACAACTGTCTTACCACAGTTTTCCATGTAGGTCCACTGAAGGATAAGAGCCGCCGTTTTCCTCCTGCTTTCTATCTATGCATCGTATAGACGAAGCAGCTTGTATTTCATGCTGAAGATAGAGTGGTCCTGTAATGTATATCTTGCTCTTGCTTTTATCTCAAGGCAACTCTGATTTATTAATGCCGTTGTGCCCTGACCCACCATCATACACCTACGAGTGAGATGCATAAGTGTAGACTCTTCACATTAATCTACATGTACAAAATGTATTACCCCAAGGAATACGTGGCCTCGTACATTCACAGCTAAGCGATACATGTTAACCCCTTTGTGTTGACGTAAATGATGTGGTTGCCTATTAACCTATCTTTGTTTTTTCCCAGGGGCAACATTCTGTGCCACGTTTTATCACAGTACAATGCTGACATCGGCTTCCTCTCCTCACTCTCACTCCAGTCCATGTGTGCTGTCTACTCAAGGTAACAAGCTTGGTCGGTTTTCAATTCAATACTTAAAGGTATAGACCAGTTTTGGAAACGCCCCCCTCTCAAAAGATTCAATGGAAGCTCTTATTACCAATCCTGTGAAAGAATATCTTTTGACTAATACGTGATCATACAAATTTTGCCGGGAAAACCACCTACTAATTGATATGTTTGGTAATTATCAAATCGATCCGCCTGGATAGATATTGCGGAGTCCCAGATGTGACATCTTTCTGTGTACAGTGCTTGTAACTTTACTAAGACTGGGCCAGATTTCTTATCAGTTTGATGATTCCAGAACCTTGCAGTACACACCAATACTTCCTAGACTGTTGAAGATTTTTCTTAGACAACATCATATTCAATAATAAATGTAACCTACACCGCGACCTAAGAATGAATGTTATATTTGATGGAAGCAACCTTTTAGGATAGTTCTATTTGTGGTTTATAATTCTGTATTTATAGATATGCATGAAGACAGCTAAATTATATAATTTAAGGAATCAAAACAAGCCATAACCATAAAAAATCAATATTATGTATATTTATTACCTCGTCATCACAAGAATGTATCCCATGTTTTATATCCATTTCTCTTCATTGCAAACTATATCTGAGTCTTTTTCTTTTATGTGAGCGAAAACAAATATTCACGTTGAACATACAATGGACAAATACATTACATTGAATTGAATTGAATGTAAATGTGCCGAAATAACTTTTAAAGCAATTTTTTGGTGTGTGTGTGTGCAATAAAATTAAGAATCCAATCAATTTAAGATGTGATTTGCTTGAGATTCCTGACCTGCTGACATTATGTATTACAAAATATTTCCATTATACCTGTACTGTAGTCCAGAATGCTTATTTTAAATATTTTCCATCAAACTCATGCAACTTCATTCAAATTGAAAGCTACATGTACATGTATGATAAGGCTATAGTAAAGTGCTTTTTGTACTTCATTTAAATATATTACATGAACATATGTTAATTTATAAAAGAATGAAAATGTGACGAACAGATAGAATTCTGACTTTCAAATACTCATGATATGTTTGTGTGTTGTAGCATCAATCCTTAGACCTAGATGTAAAACCATACTTTTAGCTAATACCATCCATTTTCTTTGCCAACAGACTTGCTTGACTGGGTTCAGTAACAGCATTCCAAGTCATCCATCTTCTTCCTCCTCCTCCTCCTCATCAGGTCAAAGGTCAAAGAGTGCTGACCTTCATCTCAACCTTAACAACCACCCCAGGATACCCCTCACACCAAACATCATGCTAGAGATGATGAATGGCGTCTATTTTGCAATGTAAGAATTAAGCTTAATAAGCTCAAGTTGACTTTTTGTTATACTTAGTTTTCTCCCACCCCCTCCCCCTTCTGCATTCCTTTTGGAATATTAGGAAGGAGCAGCCATATTCCATGTGGTTAAGTTCTCAGTCAGAGCCTTCGCCTCCTCCCAGTTTAATCTTGTGTCCTGCAAGTGAGCTTGAGTTTATCATTGACAAATATGAACTTTTGAAATTGTATACTGCCTACCATTGCAAGGGTCTTTAAATGTATTTACTTGTACTTGAAAATGTGCATAAAGGTTAATAATGACTTATAAATTCAATGAAAGAAGAATAAAAATGGCTCGTATCGGAATGACAGTATTCTCAGATATCAAGACCAGTACGGTTTATAAAGCTCACTGTGAATCTCTTTCCACGCTTGAAGGGATTGTTCAGACAAAATCGTAATTCCGCAGAAATTGGCATTTCGATCTAACAGCAACCAAAGTGTACAATTAATCTTCAAATATATCATTGTATCTTCTCCATTGGTAGAGATGTCATAGTCTAGTGGATGTGTCAGCGGACACAATAATAATAATAATAATAGCTAGTTCTTATATAGTGCTTTTCGGGACCGAAAGCCCTCTCAAAGCGCTTTACAGATAAGATAAGATTGTACATGATTCAATTTCCTTTCAGGTTCAATGGGCATGCTACAGCAGCAACACAAGCCCTTGAAGACATCCACTTCAGGGCAAGCTACGAGCTCTATGCTGAGGTCCTGCTAGTGACCAACGCCATCAAGAACTCCCTCGAGACCAATCCATCAGGTCGACCTAGCGATGGACCGGTCGGTATCAACATAGCGGTCACTCCAGCGTCTCCTGTGGTCAAGAGAGCAGCCATCACCAATGCGTCCTTCAAGAACAGGAGAAACAAAGGTTTGCATGGAGAATGATTTCTGATGTAATAGATAACAATAAATCACATGGGACTTAAGGATATCAATTTATCTTTATAACCATCTTTATCTTTACTAATTTCTGGATGTTTGACACATGCTCCAACGACAATCACTCTGGGTGAAATTTCTACACTAACAATTTTAACTTCAACCCCAGACCCAACTTTATACATTACCCTAAATATATCATAAACCCAAATTTGAATTCTATAGCATTGATGAAATAAAGCTGGGAGCAAATTTTGCCATATAAGGACAGAATTCTTTAGCACACGGCACAATATAAATAAGTTTTGTGAAAACATCTACATTTATCTATAGTAAAGTAGAAAGAGGGTTCACTTGTCAATAATATCAGTCTTTGAGTATTTATGCTATTTTGTTTTCTCTATATGTTTTTTTTAGCTGATACACCAACCTCCACCACCACTATCACAGTCATGATCGAAGGAGTGGAGAAGGGCGACGGAAAACTGCAGAGAAGCTCGGAGAAAATGATTGTCCGCAAAACAAATTCTGATCACGTGGCGGACGATCGGCGGTCGCCGCGTAACCGTGGCAGCCAGGAATTTCACAAAAATGGCACAGAGCCAGACGAAGCACATCCACTCATCAAACAAAGGACCAGTAGAAGCCTAGAGGCATTGGAACTGAAGAATATCTCAAACTCAACAATCGCGACAAATGGCAAGAGTGTGGAACATTTATCGCACAGTGACACAAGGACATCACCCTCGGCCAAGTTCGCACTTTATGGAAGATCCGCGTCCAAGGAAAATATACACGGATCGGAGGACAATTTGATGGGCGGGGAGTTATCCCCAACAGAAAAAACGGGGCTTATGGATGGTTTAGACGTGAGGTATACAGGACTAAATGGGGACCAGAATAGCAATAGCAACAGCACCGGAGCAAACAGCCGGAATAGCGTGAGCTATGAGACTACACTATGATAAAGTACCTTTCTTCAAATTTTGTGAATCAAGGAAATCTTTCAGTAATGAGACAAACATTTTCCGTACAACTTAGAAGATTTGAGATTCTGGGGCTTCTTACTGAATATTTATGTGTAGGTTTCCAATCAAAACAGCCATTCCAAATGCACTAAGATGAAGAAAAAAAGAAAGATTTTCTGATTTTACATTTCAAGAATTATGTTGTTCATGATTCCATATTAAATATAGTTCTCAAATTGATATACTGGTACATGTTAGCCTACCAGTATGTAAACCAGTACATCAAACTAACATTCCAGAAATGATACAATGAAATAGAATTCATTTTTAGTGGTCCTCCAATACAATTCCAAAATATGATTCACAATTGCATTTTTAGGGAAAAGTATAGAAAATTGTCTTAAAATAGGAACGTGTTTAATAGAATGCAAGTCTTCTAAGTTGTACAGAAAGGAAAGATGAATCAACACACGATCAGAATTCAAGAGGAGTAGGTAAAAGCATGGCGTATTGAATTGCCAGTATTTACATAGTGCTGATACAACTCATTTTGATAATGCCCATTAATGTACAGCTGTACATGTATCAACACTGAGTCTTGATTTCAACTAGATGCTTTATTTATCTGAACACAAACATTTTTTATAGACAGGACTTAATTTGGAGTGTTGTACTCATAAAAGGTATTCCAAATAACCCAAACACTTTATTTTTTTACTGTGGTAACTTGTACCTAAACTGATAAACCTACACATACAAAACTGATCACCGGTAAAGGAATACATGATCATTCTTTCATTTTACTAGATCAATTTAATAATGAGCTAACTGGACTGCTATACTGTATCTATCTTCAGATATCCTTTTTGGATCTCCTCTTGAATGCTGATCTGTTTATATCACAAGTATGTTAGTTGTTTACCTTTCACTTTACGAGTCATACATGGTGTCTCAAAAACCAGTTTTGATAGTATCACAGAATGTTCATGAAGATTTGAGACAGAGCAAATCTGTGCATATGTGAACAGTCTGTCTGTTGTTGAATAATCACTTACATTAGGAAATAATGCACAGTAAGTATCGATGGCCTTTCTATTAAGATGTGCCGATGCATCTTGCATGTTGATGTTACATGCATATGTTTTGGAGTCTGTTGCCATGCTGTGCGATCCATGAATTTCGCACAACAGTGTAAACTGGCCCGCTGCCATGGCTACTTTTGTGGCAATGTACACTTTTGCTGTTCACACAGATCTGTTCATAGCGTTTGGTGGTATTAATAGCTCAATAGGTTATAGGCAGAAGTGTGGACAGACTCTTGTCACATCCTGTATTGTTCTTGATGTAAATCATCCCGTCGCTTCCAATAAAATTTATATGTATGTGTACATAACTACGTCGCTGATTTCCAAAGCAATTCTCTTTATCTTTCAATCTTTCTATTAAATACGCACTGTCTCTCTTTATCGAGAGCAACAACTTCCGTCTCAGGGTATTATCTGTGGAAGTAGATATGATCAGCATTCTTCAGATAAGCTATATATTGTGAAAAAAAACATCATGCTTTTAAGAGTGAACTTATTTCTTGTGTGCTGTCATTATGCAACCAGGAAAAATTAGATTTAAAAAAAAATGTGTTCCACTCAGTTAAGATTTGAGTGTACTGTATAAGCCACTGTTTTTGTGGATGATATAGACACAGATGTTTTTTTGCAGGCTGCTGTTTTTTGCGATAGTTAAACAAACTGCTTACATAACGTGCTTGCTCACGCATTGCCAGCTCATGTTTTTGTGTTGTGAAAGTCACAACTGTACAATGATTAATGAAAATCACGAAAATAACGGCTTATGCAGAGTCATTACAGATGTGGAAGGATGATTTGGTTGCATACAGTACAAAACTATTTCTTGATATTAGGAACTTGCACTCATTCAAGAGGAAGGGGGAAAGGGTGATTATTTTGAAACCTATCACCTATCACTTTACATTATCACCTGACACCTGGTAATGTTTATATAAAAAAGAAATAGGATATTATCAATACATCATTAACATTAATTGTATTAAGATGTAAATTGATCATGTATTTTTGTAATAGTGTGAAGGATTTCTTGGATAAATTGTTTTATGAGGTATGCTTGTTTTAGAAAAACAGAACAAAAGATCTATATTCGTATATGATATCCGTAAGTATTAAATTTGGAAAAGACATCAAATATGTTGTAGATTATATTGCAGATTATCTTTATGATTAGAGGTTTACAGCTGGGCTGGAAAGTATGAATATAATCTATGAATTTTGAACAGAGAGAATATGAATCCTTTACTCATGAGATCTCTGATATCCTTATGGGAACCTCAATCTCTCAGACTTTTTCTTCTACCCGGTACTCCAAAAGGAAACACTGGTCACTGAGTTAGGTTCAGAAGTCGACCATGAAGCAATTATGAATTGTGTGAAGCGCGGTCCTTCTTTACCAGCACTCCATTTTCATACTAGCGAGTTCTCGCACGGCGACGAAAGTGCTGACTACGGGGTATTTAAATGAGCTCGCCACCCCGCACTAGCTCGACTCCCGACGCTATTTAAATACGGCTGAATACCGTCGTAGGTTTGGACGCTACACAAAAAAGTTTGCTCTGAGTGCAAGGCCACGTCGCCGGTTGCGAAAACTCGCTAATGTCTGCTGAGAGCCAGAAGGGTATTAACTCCTATTATCTTTAATTCATGTATACTGTCTAAAAATAGTTAACACCTTTCTGACTCTCAACACTGTCCTTTTAACTAGTGTTAGGTTTAAAACGGGTATTGTTAGAGTATAGAGTATTACTCCAGTTAATTTCCATGAGATCTTCTTGTTGGCACCTCCTTGAAAGTGAGTCCAAGAATTTGCAGTCCTTGCCTTCACTTCTGTAAAGGGGAAACCCCTATCGACTAAAGGGGAATCCCCTGCCACCCTTGCTACGCAGTACATGTAGTTTAGTTGATTGCATCATGATCAGAATGCTGATTGTTTACATTTTCTTGTAGTATGAGTACTATCATTATAGTAGATTTGAGTGCAGGCACTTTTTATTTACCCCTAATTTATTGCATTATATTTCCTTATTTTGGTGAACGTAAATTATTCTTGAATAACCGTATACAAATTATAGCTTGAAGCACATGATATCCATATTATTTTGTTACTGTCCAACCCAGAACTTCTATTACTTTCAACCCCTGCTTCATATTTGATACCATATTCTTACAGCTATACTAAAAAATTATCGATTTACAGAAACAATGACAATAGAGCTCATTGTCATCTCTTTATATAGACACATGTACATTATTTGATTTTGAAGTCCCATTTTGTCTAATATTCCTATATTCTATATTCAGTAGATCTGAGTGAACATTATTATGCACAAATTACGTTGCCTCTCAGAACATGTATGATTATAAACCCCAGCAATAATTATAGAATGAAAGGAAAAGTGAAATGGTTTTGTGCATTTGACTGTTCTTTTTTCTGTTATTTGCTGTTATTTGCTTTATATTTAACTTTGCTAAGGCCAGTCTTTATCACATGATTTGATTTTCCTTGTTTAGAAGGTTTTAAGTTTCATTCAAAATGTGTGTCATATGCTTTTGATTACATTTTTTTAGGAGGCTGACTCACAGTACCAGAGAATAAGTGATAATTGTTTAATGGTAATTGGAGAAAGGAACCAAATCAATGGGCATACTTTATCATTTATCAAAGAATGAAATCAAATGACCAACTAATATGGCACACTAATAGTACTTCATGATGGTCCCAAATGAAATTTTCATTAGTTATTATTTTTTACTTGTTTGAGTGATTAGTATGCTTGAAAATATTGTAAAAATGCCAGTTTTTAACACTTGGAATTGTCCATAATTATTTGATTTTATATTCTTTGCAAAAAAGTTTGATTTTGAGTGAAAGTGTGTTTGTCTATATTCCAGTGTGCCCTCCTTCGTTAGTATGATAGATTTGCTCGTTTCCAAGTTGTGTTTAATATTCATGTGGGGGATAAAGGATTATCTATATTAGTTTTCACTCCTGGTATGCCAAAGAATATACATGTACCGGTTCATTCATGTAGTTTTAGTACCACAAGAGTAGTTCTAGAATATGTCAGACAAAGATGTGTTACATTTGAATATACCTTAATGATAAATTGTAAATCGCGTCTAGTCCGTTCAAAATAGTCCAACCATTTTCCATCCAGAGAATATATAGTTAACAGAATTGGAGGCATAGTTTACTATGGTATACTGAATAAAAGGTCATTTAAAAACCTGGAATTTCATGGGATTTCTTGGAAAAATGATTTCTTCTGGAATGTAATGGGGGTGGGGGGGGGGGGGAATCTCCAAAATCATGGAAAGTCATGAAAATTGATTGTGGGCCTGACTTGTGGCTATGGCATCCTTCCGGTTTGAATTGACACCCCAACCCATACCAAAATGGTACTTATCTGGAAAGTTGTGGAATTTGGTTCTCAATTTTCTGTTGGAACCCTGTGAAAAGCATATTCATGTTTCCTTTATATTTTCTTAGTACAATTAAAATCTGGAATGTACTAGTCCATTTTGATAAGAGGACCATTATATCATCAATGAGATTTACACATGGATTTACCTGGAGTTATTTATGTTGGAAACATCCACCCCCCCCCCCCTTCCAAAGTCATTGTTTTCTTATAATCCTATATGTACACGTTCATGTCAGTCTGTAAAATCTTTATGATGCGAGTCTCAAGTTTCTTCTTGCTCATCATTAAATTGCATCTTATTTATCTTTATTGTGCTTACCGGTAGGTGAATTTGTTTCATGACTTTATGTCATGTGTATGATAGGAGAAAAAAATATCTTTATGTATATTTAGAGGTATATGTTACACAAATATATATTTATATTGAGTTTTTTTGTACACGTTCCATTGTTTCCATGGAAACACAGAATATTGATAGAATACCACTGGTAATCAGTTTTAGTGCAGTGTCAAGTTAAAAGATGTAGATTTATATACATGCAATGAGGATGAATGGGGAAGAGACAGATGTTATACATGTAGATGTAAAATGGGTAATAAAGGTATTTACCAGCAAGAAATGTGAGTTGTGTATTATTACAATCTCCCCCCCCCCCCCCTGTCAAAAATGATTTAGTTCAGAATGAGTAGATATAATCGTGTTAATGGTGGTTTCAAGGGGACAGCAAAGCTAGTTCGGGGGGGGGGGGGGGGGGGTAGTTGTGCGAGAATGGGTGGAGAGGAATAAGAGAGGGAGAGAGAGGGGGAGGGAAGCAGGGATAAAGGGAGGAGATAGAGAAGGGAAGAGGTATAAAGATGGAAAGAAAGAAAGCGAGGGGAAAGGGTGATAAAAGAAAGCAATATAAAATGTATATTGAAGGGATGGGCTTTAAGAGATAAAATACTGAAAGATATAAGAAAAAGAATAGATGAAAGCAGAAGAGAAAATACTGCAACAAAAAATAGTAGACTTTTTTTTTATGTCTGTATTATTTTAGTACTTTTTTTCATGTTTCTCAAGAAATATTTCTATGGATTTATTCGATCAAGCACTGGCCATAATAATATTCCAGAGTGTAGAAATATCAAACAGGAAAGAACTGTAACCCCTCCAATTTTACAGAATATCAACATAAGTCCTGTAAATCTTTCTATTTTGCTTTGTGTTTAATAAGCATTGACATAATATGTTTGCAATGACAATTATGAACCACTCTATTTGTGTGCATCTGATGACAGTCTACCTCATCTCCTCTCTGCCCCCCCCCCCCCCCCCACACACACATACACACACTGTATTCATCTCTCTCTCTCTCTCTCTCCCCCTCCTCTTCCCTCTGTTTACTCCCCTCTCTACTACGTCTTACCATCTCAGAAAGACATCCTCAATACCTAAAAATGCATTCATTCATCTAAAATCATTCAGCAAAACACTCCCCCCCCCCCCCCCCCACAAAAAAAAAAAAAATTAGTAAGAAGAAGAAAAATTTCCTTCAATTAAATTTCCAAATAAAATTGACACAAAAACTTTCCAATATGATAGTAAATCTTTTTTAATATCACTTCAATATTAAGTTTCAAACTCATTTTGATAATTCCTTAGCTGAGATAAGTAGTGTACACAAGCTGCATAGAAAAGCCTTAAAATTTTTTTTTTTTGTGGGGGGGGGGGGGGGAGACATTATTCCTTTTACCCTCCTAATTGGGTCCTTTGGACCTTAAGCTAATCCCACACATTCAATCCGTAAACACATTAATTTGATTAGGTATGAAATCTCCATCTAAACTCCTAGATGTACATGTACATGTACATTCAGATTTGAAGAGAGTAAAATGGTTCTCAAACAATGAAATCATCTTTGTAAAAGCATTGTGCAAACACATGAACACTTTCACTGTGTTAACATTAATCAGATCAAAGCATACCTTTAATGTTCACAATTCATACAGCTAACAATATCTTGGTCTTCAGAACATTTTAGTAACTTTCACTGAAGTTGAAATTCATCATGAAGTCAAAAGACAGCATTGATGTGTTAATTCAATCTAATGCTGTAAATGACCAATTTTATATTGAGGAGGACCCATGCACATACAAATTATGAGGGAGATATGTCTTCGAACACATAGGTATATAAACTTTCAGACATTTCTACTTTTTTGCTTTGTTTTTATGATTAAGTTGATTTACAGTCAAAATACATATACTGGTAGCTTACTTTCAATCAAAATATTTAAAGCACTACTATGGGATGTTAGGTGTCAGTGAATCCTTGGGTTCCTGAGTAAGAAAATTAATAAAGACACAGTCAAGTTTTTAGGGTGAGCATGAATATCAAACAGCTTCCGTTAATTCTTAACCACCTGACAGGCCTGTCATAGCAATGCTTCTCATACATCAGTCAAAGGTCATCTAGGTTCATTTCATTTTCCGGGATTCCTCCATATCAAAGACATTCAGTGCAGCTTGCAAATCACAGTTCAGACGGAGATAAACAATTTCGATGTCGAGATGATATCGACAACATCCTTCTCTAATCCAAGCTGGTCATCATCAATGATGTCCATGGCCATCATCTTTGGCAAACATCTTCTCGATGCCGACTGCAACGACGAAGAGACCAGCTCCAATGGGTAGACCTTTGAAGATTATCCTCCACCACGGGATAGGTTTGAAGCAAGGTTGGTAACGCCAGACCTCGTTCCTGTCAGAAAGCAAAACGATTTTTTTTTTAATGATTTTGAGCTTATTAGCAGGGAATTGTTCTGCACTTTTTAGCAATTAATCCTTTAAGGAAATTCTCAACCAATTTTATTTCCAATGTCCATCTGTCTCCAACAGATTGTTACTTTTAAGGATTCATCCAACACCACTCTCCGCACAGCACTTCTAGAACAGCAATCAACTTGCAATCATACAAAATCAAATACTGTAGAACTTGGTTACAATTAAAAATGGCCAGAAAGGCAGAAGCCAGGGCAGCATTTCACAAAACCATAATCAGTATAACTATACCGACAACACATTGAAGCATTTGTATTATATCTAACACACGTTTCAATGGGATGTCGGTGAACTTGCACTTATAACAGTGTCATGATGAAGCGATTCCCCGGTGTCTGTAACTCAGTCACGTCACTCAGCAACTAGCAGCTCAGAGTCAGAGTAGACATGCACATCTGACATGCGCATGCCAGAAAATCTTTCAATTTTCAAAATCAGAAGTTCAGAACTAAGATTTCGAAGTGTAATTAATTTTTAATACTGATGCCCCATTCAGATCTTATGTTTTAAAGTTCAATATAATCTTGCAATGATTACATCGAATTTGTTTCAAAATTTCATTTCGATCCCGACCCGTCTTTTTGCATTAACGTTTCATACATGATAACAGAACGCAGAAATAAGCATATCGGACCGAACTAAACTCGCCGGATAAGATTCAACCTGGAATTCATTAATACTTGCCTCAACCAGGGGTCCTTAAGACCTCTCAGTGCCAACTTTTCCTGAACAGCTTTCAACTTTGGTACATCTTCTACTTTGTAGATGCGCCAGTCCGGTATCTCGATGCCACCTTTCCCCATTTTGGTGTTTTTTTTTTCACCGGGAATTGGGCCTGGGTCCAAAGAAATTTTGCGAAATCCAGAAACCTGAATAAAAATCATTAACAGATGGCGCTGTAACAAACAAAAAACTGTGTATGATCGAATCTCTTTGACAAAAAATGCTACGAAATACGGCAGCACTGATACTGTGATAGACTAGGCCTGTATATTCTTTTTCTTCGTATACGCCTTTGTGAAGTGCCTCGATACGAAATATTTTATTCATATGTTACAAATAATTGTATTTCAATAGTCAGAATGCGAACTGCAAGAATTAGTTGGTGCTATGTAGGTCAAATATTGTCGGCCTACCTACACGGAATATATGCGTTTTGCAACCTAACTATTGAAATACACTCATTCGTAACAGAATTGGCATGAATAAAATAATTCGTATCGAGTCTAGTATAATACCCAACTGGCCAATAATTCACTCTTTATTTCTTCTATTTCAATCTATGTCTCTTTAAGGGGGTTGGGAAAAAATCCCATATTATCTAAATTCTTTATCATTCCAATCTTTATGAAGAATGAAACCATTAGCATAATATATATTAATCATGCAAAAATATGAACCTCTAAAACTACTATCTTGATTACTTATATCAACTTATTAAGGACTGACAGGGGTATAATGTTTTATTATCATCACCATCACCATCAATTTATAGCATAATGTACCCCTGAGCATTTTCTCCCTTCTGTTCCCCTTTCTTAGCCCTGATTTAACCGATCTTCTCTTTAGCTCCTGATTCGCTCCTGACAGAGCTTTCCGTATTGTCATGGTCTGTTCCCTCATCTATCTGTCACTCTTACTAATTGTTTTTCATACTTCGTCAGTCTTCTGTCCTGTATTGTAACCCCTCTCACAACTCTCAGTGGCCTTCATCATGATATGTCTCTGCAGCTCTTCAAACTTATGATTTTTCGTTGTTTTTTTATTTAAAAAAAAAAAAAAAAAATCCTTCACTATTCATATTAGTACTCTCTTTAGCGCGCAAAGCTATATCCGGCTGTCCATCATCTCCGGCGTATAATTTTGATAAATATCGCGATGTTAGTTCATATTAATTAGTAATAAAATGTTTAGTACTACTTACTGAATATATTAAAAACTGAGGGGAATAGGGGCAAATGTTATTTATATGACCCCCTCCCCCCCCCCCCCGCCCATCCCCCTTTGTTCGATTTAATTTCAAACCTTCGCAAACTCTGTCTCTATTATTGTTATGCTTTTATATTAATTTATTATAACGATTGGATTACCATCTAAAATGACAAAGCAGCCCGTTCATACACAACAGCATATCCATTTCTTTAGGTCGATATTCATAGAGCGACTTCATGTCTTTCAATTAAGAAAAAGGTCAACTTTGAAAATAAATTTTCTTAACTACGAACCGATATCACATTTTCCTCAAACATTCACCCTTTGTTTAATTTTTCCTGCTTATAATTATGACGGGGTGGGAACTTTCTCTTAAAATAATTTTCATTTCCTCCATATACCATATTCATACAAACTACTCAAAAACATTATCTGGTACAATTATTTTGTGAAAAAGATGCATGGATTTATTCAAAAGAGCACAGCAAATGATTATAAATTTGAAATGAATCCTATATATTCACCCCCAACGGCTAGACATGAAATAGTACTGTAATGGAAAACAATTTATTCAGACATTTCTGAATATATAACAGTTATCTAGGCTTATATAGTTTATAGAAATTAAGGCAATAATTACTGAACCAATCTTGTCAATATTATATAAACGGATATGTCTGTTTTGTTATACTTTCTTTTATTCGTTAAAATCATGACATATGCTATAGAAAAAACATGTGTATATACAAAATGAGTAACATATTATTTATTTCCTTCGTGAAGAAAAGGACTTTGCACGTATTACAAGGTCAGTAGTATTTCATACATGCTTATTTACATAATTATAACCGTTTGGTAATTCTATAAAACATCAAATGTAAAAAGGCACAAAGTCACTTTTGCAGTACATTGTATTTTATAATTGTTTATCATTAACTGTATTAGAATGGTACAGTGAGGTTTAACATGGTTATATTGAGTATATCGTAGCAGCTTGTTAATGCAAAGTCAATAATGTAAGTATACTATGTTATCATAGACATTGTTACAAAATGTTAATCCACATTGTATAAATACTTGTAAAATGGTAGATAGCTTTGACTTACCAGAAATGTGATTAGAATAAACCCTAACCAACTTTAATACGGCATTTCGAAGCCAGCGTTCATGATACACAATGCAAGCAAAACAACTTGATATTCAACGGCGTACTCGCCGAAAGAAGAGGGTGCCCCATATAGGCCTACACCCATAAATGTATAATTGGATATTAAAGAAGGGAACATTGCATATATTATGTCTCCCTCCACCACACTACAAACATATTTTACTTGGAAATGTGAACACTTAATTCATTTTTATTGTCGACGCAATCACTTGGACTGCCACTCCACCCCCCCCCCCCCCCTATCCCCGGTCTTTCGATGGCCCAGAAGTTAGTCTATGTAATCAAACTCAATAAAGTGTAAAATATATATACATGCATAACAAATTGAAATAGAATCATTCCCTATTCATACCTGACATGGTGTTTCTTACAGAAATTAGAATTCAGTGGATATGAAACAGATCGCAGAATGAATATATTCTAAAAAGGATCTTGCAACATACATGATATCGTCTTGTCAAAATGTTCATGGATACATACAATTTAAAGAGAGAAAGAGAAAAAAATCATTACTTTACTAACCAAAGGTCCGGGTATAAAAAATATGGCGTATTCTGTGTACATCATGGATGTGTTTTATGACACTTAAATGAAAAAAATGTTCGCGACGAACAAGAATATTTCTCATGGCAAATAAACGAAAATGAAATAGTTACATAATATGGCTATCAACAGGAAATATCACTGTATAGCGGGGGTTCGTCATGTTGCAGTCAAGAAAGATTAGACTCTTCTGCCGACCGACGAATGGTAATGAAAGCTGCGAATCTTGTTCTGAAAATATCAGTTTGGGTGTACTATACTCGGATAAAGGCAACATAGTAGAGTGTCATCATGGTATTGCGTGATTTTATATTGGCCTAGACGCGAGTCGATACGCATAGTCGTGTGTTCATCTTTGATAGTAGTCGGGTTCCTATAAAATAAGACAAAAATGAAACAGACCAATATTAATTCTTGTCGTAATGGTACTTTTTGCGATATCATACTACATCGCAAAAATAATATACTACCAGAAACGATAAAACCCCATGACGAAACCCGGCATCAGAAAAAACAGTTCTTACCATGAAAATAATCCCCAGACCTTCCTGAAATTTTCCGGACCCTGGTAATGGCAAAAACTTCAAAGAAATTAACTTCAGTGCAATTTAAATTACATAATAGGCGGTGTCACACAGAAAAATCCCCCCAAAATCCCTTGAAAAATCCTTTCAAGGGAGAATTTTCTTGCTTCGTTAAAGGATTTTTAATGGGATAATTGATGACAGACAGCAAAGAGGATAACTAAAATTCGAATATCAAAAATCCGGATTTTTGGCCTCTGTGTGACACCGCCTATTGTATTGCATATAGAAATCATATTCAGATTACGTTTCATGTCAGTGTCAATACCATGTCAGTGTCTTCACGTAACGAACTACATTCCTTGCCGCAAGGGACGTTTTTTTTTCTTGGTTTTTTAAAGTCTTTTTCTGGTCTTGCGATCGTGTTGGCCTTGTAATACAATTATACAAGAGACTATAATATTGTACGAGTTTGATTTGAGAGACATGTTCCTTTTTCCACAATGCGAATTATCACTGTATTTCACGTGTACAGGTATTTATGATAGAGTTTTTTTTACAATTTTTACTTAATCTTAACCATACATTATACGACCCAAGGCACAATCCTATCGTAGTGTAGGTATCCAGTTACTTATCAAGATGGGCATTGGCATATTACTAATGAAGTGGAGCCGACTGACCCAAGTCCCCCGTCTATTTCTCTCTCTTTCTCCCTCAATCACCACCTCTATATATCTCTCTCTCTCTCTCTCCTCTCTCTCTCTCTCTCTCTCTCTCTACCTACTCTATCTCGCTCTCTCTCTCTCTCTCTCTCTCCTCTCTCTCTCCTCTATCTCTCTATCTCTCTCTCTCACACACACACACACACACACACACACTCCCTCCATCCCCCTCTCACTCTCCCCTGTTTTTCCTCTCCCTCTCTTTCTTTCCCCCACCCCACTCTCTCCTCACCCCCCCCCCCCCAAATCCCTGTCACTCTCTCCCCTCCATCCCTCTCCTCTCTATCTTACTCACACCACGGACCAGCTACTACGAAGTAGGTCCACGCACACACTATATACATGTCTCTATCTCTTTCTATATCATTCGTCTCTCACTCTAGTTATGCCAATTGATTTTGAAAAGGGGCAGATGCCTCTTCTATATATATATATATATATATATATACAGTCCTGTCGTGCATATTAAAGTATAGATTAGGGGGAAAATTTTCTGCGATATATTCTAAATGAGAATGTATATCTGAAAACAATATAGCCTATATCATACCGGGATATGCTGGGTGTGAGCAGGGTTCATGCTCTGGTATGCATTGGGTTCAGTGTTGGAATAGTCGTAGTGCCCACTAATATGAGGTCGCTGAATCTTATGCTGTGAGAGGGAAAAAAAACATATATTGGTTAGTTAGATCATTCTGTCGCCATAGAGACGAACTTTAATAAAGTCAACCAATGATATATATCTGGATAAAGGATATACTAAAGAGTGAATGATGATAAAGCGTACGTTAGCATTTATAATCTGACCAGTAAAACCGACATCATGAAAATAATAGTATTGCTTTCAAAATGATACAGAGAAGGGGCGTAAATCCCGTGTGGGGGGGGGGGGATGGGGGGCTGCATCCCCCTGGCTTGAAGTAGGGGGGTATGGCCTGTACAATCATCCCCCCTGATATTACCCAAAAAA